GACACGACAACAACAGAAAATTGACATGGACCCAGAACAGCAGCTTTACACACCCAAGATAGAGGACATTGCGACTGCTGTGATAGAGATGTATGGAGACATCTGAGGCTCTTCATTGGACACAACAACAACAGAAAATTGACATGGACCCAGAACAGCAGCTTTACACATCCAAGATAGAGGACATTGCGACTGCTGTGATAGAGATGTATGGAGACATCTGAGGCTCTTCATTGGACACAACAACAACAGAAAATTGACATGGACCCAGAGCAGCAGCTTTACACATTCAAGATAGAGGACATTGCGACTGCTGTGATAGAGATGTATGGAGACATCTGAGGCCCTTCATTGGACACAACAACAACAGAAAATTGACATGGACCCAGAGCAGCAGCTTTACACATTCAAGATAGAGGACATTGCGACTGCTGTGATAGAGATGTATGGAGACATCTGAGGCTCTTCATTGGACACAACAACAACAGAAAATTGACATGGACCCAGAACAGCAGCTTTACACATTCAAGATAGAATAAATTGTGACTGCTGTGATAGAGATGTATGGAGACATCTGAGGCTCTTCATTGGACACAACAACAACAGAAAATTGACATGGACCCAGAGCAGCAGCTTTACACATCCAAGATAGAGGACATTGCGACTGCTGTGATAGAGATGTATGGAGACATCTGAGGCTCTTCATTGGACACAACAACAACAGAAAATTGACATGGACCCAGAACAGCAGCTTTACACATCCAAGATAGAGGACATTGCGACTGCTGTGATAGAGATGTATGGAGATATCTGAGGCTCTTCATTGGACACAACAACAACAGAAAATTGACATGGACCCAGAGCAGCAGCTTTACACATCCAAGATAGAGGACATTGTGACTGCTGTGATAGAGATGTATGGAGATATCTGAGGCTCTTCATTGGACACAACAACAACAGAAAATTGACATGGACCCAGAGCAGCAGCTTTACACATCCAAGATAGAGGACATTGTGACTGCTGTGATAGAGATGTATGGAGACATCTGAGGCTCTTCATTGGACACAACAACAACAGAAAATTGACATGGACCCAGAACAGCAGCTTTACACATTCAAGATAGAGGACTTTGTGACTGCTGTGATAGAGATGTATGGAGACATCTGAGGCTCTTCATTGGACACAACAACAACAGAAAATTGACATGGACCCAGAACAGCAGCTTTACACATTCAAGATAGAGGACATTGTGACTGCTGTGATAGAGATGTATGGAGACATCTGAGGCTCTTCATTGGACACAACAACAACAGAAAATTGACATGGACCCAGAACAGCAGCTTTACACATTCAAGATAGAGGACATTGTGACTGCTGTGATAGAGATGTATGGAGATATCTGAGGCTCTTCATTGGACACAACAACAACAAGTTACCAATCACATCAATAGTTCGAATAGTTACTGGGGTCTTGATTGCAACCATTGGTTTTCTATTGGTCGACAAGAGACAATTCCGAAGTTAAGAATGACCGCTACTAAATCCCGCAAAATATAAAACAGAACTTCGTAATAGGCATACGATACCGAATATCCGAATCGTCCCATAAGACAAGTGACAAATTTCTCCACGCTAGTCTTGTGCGGTAGAATTTGTCGAAAAATACGAAAAATTTTCAAAATTGCCTCTTTTTTTTAAATTAAGTTTCTCTACACCTTAATAAAATTTCTTATGAAATGTGTCCGTATATTAGATATTGGACTTAGCTCGTTATTTGATGATATATTTTGTACCATTTTTTACGTATAAGCTTCACAAATTGCTTTCGTTTTGTTTGAAATTTAAAAAATGAGGAGCATTTCTTCCTTGCGAATAATTTGAGCAAATTTTTTATTAGCGTCGTTTTGTGTTTCATTCTAAAAAACACTCATTGATAAAACTTTAAAAAGTTGACCTTTTTGAATGTATACCGGCATTCATACAATAACTCTGAAAGATATTCGATACACAGTGACCTTTATTAAAGACACACGAGATAACCAAGTGCGAACAAAATTGACTCTATCTCCTTCAAAAAACAGACGACCAGCGACATCAAAGACATTCCACTTCCTTAAGTTTTATCTATGAGTGTATATATGTGTTAGGTAAATATGTAATTTCGCGAGAAAACATCCTCACAAAGGCAACAACATTAATCAACATTATATAACGAAGGTTAGAAATGGAATTAATATTTACATATTTACATAAATGCATATGTTCCTTTTCTGAAGACTCTTCGCATAGTTTCCAAATGTACTCGTATATTTATTAGTCAGAGGGGTTATTATTTTAATTATCTCAAATATAGATACATACTATCTTTAATATATTTCATCTTTGAATATGCTAAGGTATTCAATATATTAATTTAGAATAGAAATAAATTTAGTGACCTCTAATCCTAAATTATTAGAGCGCAGTGAAAATAATAATAAATCTCTTAGAAATAATGGAGAAATACAGATAAGTCAATAAGATAGTTTGGAATTTGGTGTTTATCAGTGAGAGGAATAACATGGAGCTGAGACGTTGATGTGATAAGAAAAAAAGTTGAGAACGCACCACGTTCGATCTGATGTTAGTAATTACAATGGCCATTGGTTTTCCATTACTCGCCCGGGGCGCCCGGCTGATCCATCAATTTCACACCTCGTTTAAATGAAACGCCATTGAACAGTGGGCACAATTATAGAATTAGCTTGGTAATAGTTAGCGTTTCCCCTTGGAGCCGTCGTTCCATATGTAAATATCCAGGTTACTCTTGGAATCATTAACTCGACTGTAAATTTTCAGATGTCCCTTTTATTCATCTCCACAGCTGTAAATATTCAGATGCCCCTTGAATCCATCTCCACAGATGTAAATATTCAGATGTTCCTTGAACCCATCGCCACAGATGTAAATATTCAGATGTCCCTTGAATCCATCTCCACAGCTGTTAATTTTCAGATGTCCCTTGAATTCATCTCCACAACTGTGAATATTCAGATGTCCCTTGAATCCATCTCCACAGATGTAAATATTCAGATGTCCCTTGAATTCATCTCCACAGCTGTAAATATTCAGATGTCCCTTGAATCCATCTCCACAGCTGTGAATATTCAGATATCCCTTGAATCCATCTCCACAGCTGTAAATGTTCAGATATCCCTTGAATTCATCTCCACAGCTGTAAATATTCAGATGTCCCTTGAATCCATCTCCACAGCTGTAAATATTCAGATGGCCCTTGAATCCATCTCCACAGCTGTAAATATTCAGATGTCCCTTGAATCCATCTCCACAGCTGTAAATATTCAGATGTCCCTTGAATCCATCTCCACAGCTGTAAATATTCAGATGTCCCTTGAATCCATCTCCACAGCTGTAAATATTCAGATGTCCCTTGAATCCATCTCCACAGCTGTAAATATTCAGATGTCCCTTGAATCCATCTCCACAGCTGTAAATATTGAGATGTCCCTTGAATCCATCTCCAGAGCTGTAAATGTTCAGATGTCCCTTGAATCCATCTCCACAGCTGTGAATATTCAGATATCCTTTGAATCCATCTCCTAGCTGTAAATGTTCAGATATCCCTTGAATTCATCTCCACAGCTGTAAATATTCAGATGTCCCTTGAATCCATCTCCACAGCTGTAAATATTCAGATGTCCCTTGAATCCATCTCCACAGCTGTAAATATTCAGATGTCCCTTGAATCCATCTCCACAGCTGTAAATATTCAGATGTCCCTTGAATCCATCTCCACAGCTGTAAATATTCAGATGTCCCTTGAATCCATCTCCACAGCTGTAAATATTCAGATGTCCCTTGAATCCATCTCCACAGCTGTAAATATTCAGATGTCCCTTGAATCCATCTCCACAGCTGTAAATATTCAGATGTCCCTTGAATCCATCTCCAGAGCTGTAAATGTTCAGATGTCCCTTGAATCTATCACAACTGTGAATGTCAGATGTCCCTTGTATCCATCTTCACAGCTGTAAATATTCAGATGTCCCTTGAATCCATCTCCACAGCTGTAAATATTCAGGTGTCCCTTGAATCTATCACAACTGTGAATGTTCAGATGTCCCTTAAATCCATCTCCACAGCTGTGCATATTCAGATGTCCCTTAAATATATCACAGCTGTAAATATTCAGGTGTCCCTTCAATCTATCTCCATAACTATAAAATATGTAGGTGCCTCCTGAATCCATCACTACCAGCAAAAAAATATTACGACGCCTATTCAATCCGTATAGTCCATTATGATGCTGAATGTCTGTTACTCCAACCTCCTATTCTTATCTAATTTTTTCTTCGTTACCCAAAATCAAATAAAGAGCGATATTATTTGATGCACTTGCAATCAGAGCGTGTATCTTACTGCCTCCTTAAAATTTAATATTCGATACTGGTGCATACAGCAAACGACATTTCTTTCAATCTTAATTGGTGTCATAAAGATTCAAAAGAATTGCATTACTTGTCATATGGAAAATAATCAAATTTTCATTTGTATTTCTCTATTAAATAAGTTGCCTTGAGTTATTTTGACAAAGAAAGGATGTGTTTCTTCGTATTCCATACTATATATAATCAAGATATTGTTTAATTACCTGTAACAAATCTGCCTGTTTATTACTGATTCAGACAGCGATCGGTATCATTATTTAACCAATATAACGAACAATAGTTTCACTTAGTCTTTATGGCACAATAAAATCTTACTTTAAGAGTCAAACTATTAATACGAGTCTTTTTTTTCTCTCTCTGAAAATTTTTCCTTTTTATTTTCGAAGTTAAACTAGAATTTTTCAGTTTTCAGATTTTACCTTTATTTTTTTTACTGAAGAATATTTCAGTTGTAATTTAAAAAAAGAAAAGATCTACTTATATAATTGCCTTATTCTGTCTGTGTGAAGTTCACGGATAGATTTTGGTCAGAATGGATAAAATAAAAAAAGTGTCAAGGGATGGGAATCGAAGCCACGACCTTCCGCTTACCGGGCAGATGCCATGACCACTAGGCTACCCTGGACATATTTTTCCGTTCATAAAGTTAATATATGATGCCAATATCTACTTATATAATTGCCTTATTCTGTCTGTGTGAAGTTCACTGTGTGAAGTTCACGGATAGATTTTGGTCAGAATGGATAAAATAAATGCAACGAAAGGTTATTTCTAAAGAGTAATTAGCCAGAAACCATCCCGGTAGTATACTAAACATCTTCCCAAAGTTTCATCACGATTGGTTGAGCTATGTAGAAGATTATCACTCACGGACGGACCAACGGACCAACCAACAAACATCCATTTATATATATATAGATAACAATACTTAAATGAAAATATGTTTCTTTAAATAAAATAAAATAAACTTTTAAATCGGTAACCTTTTTATGAGAAACTTTAAATATATATAAGTACCTTATAATTGTAACGAATAGTATTTTAATTAAAACATTTTAAAAACACACAGTTTGGAACGGGACGTTTCACAAGACTGACATCCATGGCGCCAATTTATAATTGTAACGAATAGTATTTGAATTAAAACGTTTTTAAAATAGATACGCACTCGGGTAAAACCCGGGCGTTGCCCAGGCCATTCGTCTAGTATCTATATACTTGAATATTAATATTGCTTTGAATAAATAAAAGTATTTTGAGATAAATATGACAAACAACAACAACAAAAAGACTTTAACATAACAGTTATCTACAAAAAGTGGAGATTAAGATCGACCTTTCTTCAAGTTGGTACCATCATCTATGTTGCGCCCATTGTCTGTACTGTTTTCCAGAATTTTTGGAAGGTTAATGCATTGGGTTTGCTTTTCACTACTTTTCCATTATAATATATGGCGAATTGTCTTCATAACCAATCATTTGACAGATAATTTCTCTCTCTTCCTCCAGTGCTGGGCAATAAAACGTGTAGTGTGGAAAGTCGTGGCAAAATTCGCTATTGCACAGAGTGCCTTTTTAGTTCTTATATTTTAATAATAAATTGTGATTATTACGATGCACTAGCGCACCATCTGTTATTATAAATTAGAAACTATTTTAGACGCGTAAGATTCTTTTTAAATTAAACAATTTCTACTGCCCTTACTGCAATGTAATTACTTGCAGTAAAGGCAGTAGAAATTGTTTAATTTCAAAAATAATCTTACGCGTCTAAAATTGTTTCTAAATTGTGATTATGTTTATAAATAGTGGAAAAATAATTCTTACTTGGGCAATGCATCGCTTTACAGTTATTGGAATATCACCGTTGAAGTAAAAACTCCATAGAAGTTAATGTATGAAAATGATTTTAGTGAGAATAAAGTACAGAATTTCTTATTTTGCATAACCCAACTCTGTATAAGCGCGCCATTTATATATAGGAGATGAAAGTATTAAGGCATGCATGTTTCTTTTAGACATAAAACAAACTTCTACAACATCTACAAACTTCAAATTTTCTATATATAGATGACGAGTTATTGCTTTATATTAATGTATGCCTAACTGGCCGTTTCCTTTTGTTTGCGGAAGAGCATTGCTCGATCCAAATATTTATAGGTAATTTTACTCTCCTAAAAGCTTATGTCCATAGTTTGATTAATTACTATTTGTGAGATTAAATCCTTCAATGTATCGTATTCAAAAGCAGAAATTTAAGTAGATTAAAAAGGCGAAACCGCTGGGAGGGTTCACAACTGATGAACCAAGCCATCCCAATAGTTTTTCATCGCAGTAAGGACAGTAGAGAAATAAACATTCGTGCCGCAGTGTTTTCGCTCCCTATATAAGAAAAATGCTATGAAATACATTTTATACATTTCTCTTATTATTTTTAACATGGAAACCTAGAACAAATGACTGACTGGCAAAATAAACTAAGTCATTATGTCACGCGCGCGAAATTGTATCACTAAAAATGTTTGATAAAGTTTTGTTTATGTATATAAAATAAACAAATATGTGTGTCAAATAAATTAGAAGCATACAAGAAGTAGTTAGGTACTAACCAAAAATGTTATAAGGAGTAGAAACAAAGCATACTAGAAGTAAATAACAAATAGATAAGAAATTCAGATGATGCAGAACAAGAACAGGTTTAAGCTTTCAGAGTAGTTGTATATAGAAGTGATTGGGGTTCCAGGATATGCGCCTCCTTATCATGGGGCAGAGACTTTATTATCCATGAAGCGCTGTTGTTTTTTTATTATTATTATTATTATTATTAAACATATTGAATTATAGATATATACATTGTGAAAGAGAAACTTACTGTCCAGAGAAAAACCCTAGCCTATTCAAAAATGGCAGTTCCGAACACTTCACATAGGAATTTGTTTCAAATTATTAAAAGAAATTATTTTGACGCCAACAGGTTCCACACCATATTCGCGCGTTGTATTTCCTCATATACAGGGAGCACTACAGCACAGTCTGCGTTTCGTTTATCAATTGCTGCATACTCGCTGTCCCTTATACTTAGTAAGCAGATTTTCGGAGTAAACGCTAATATAATGCAACATAAGATAATCCTTTATATCAATATGGCCATTTAATTTCATCTTGGATAGCAGCTTTCCACACGCACATATTTCTGCCTATTCATTATATTTTGAAATTACCATAAGACATTATTTCCTCAATCTAAAGTTTTTGGCGGTGGTAACCATTCGGGCACTGAGTGATAGCTAAAGAGCTTCTTGATTCTCTGCAACCTTCCTGCCAAGTGTCCCTTTTTATAATACTATTTCCTTCTACCTATCAGCATCTATTAACCCTTAAATTCACTTGTAGTCCTCCTTTTTACTGAAATTAAATTTGACAAGGTATTAAAATAATTTCTCTATTGGAATAAAGTCATTTATCAGCCAAGAACTCTGCTCGTGCTCAGAACTTTGAATTACCTCTTTTTTGACTTGAAATATGATCATTCAGCAAATGTATATTGCTTTTGTAAATAGTCATACTCTCACCTTTCTTTTAATTCTATAAATATTTGTTAGCTTTAATATAAGAATGAAGATGCACACAGAGGGGGATCATAAAAAAAACATTATATATATATATATATATGTAGGATTCCTCTTACATTACATTTGGAAATATATATCTATATATATTTATATACATACGATGAATATAGTACACGCCCAGATTTACATGTGACCTATAGTTGAGTATCAATGTAAGACTCACTCCTACATCTAGATGACTAAATTCCATCCTTTGACTTAGACATGCAAATGTAACACTCGCCAAATGCTTACATCAACATGTGTAATAACCAAATTTACACTCAGATATACACTCGATATGGTACGACGAACACAAAGATCCATATTAATAATCAAAATATGTAGTTTGTTCCAAGATAAATTTTGGGACGTAAGATACGCTCTTACATTACATCATATACGGTAAATATTGTATACACTCGGATTTACATGTGTCTTGTAATTGAGCATCGATTGTAAAGACATCTATATCTTGATCTCATCTAACTCATAAAAAAAAATCCAGGTGTATACATATTCACAGTTTATGGTAAGGCAATGAACTTCTTATAATACACTCAATATCTATAACATACGCACCAAGGTTTATGTGTGATATGTGGTTTGATATAGACATTAGTACACATTATATAATTTACCACATCAACTTTATTCGACAAAGAAAGGGATTTTGCAAAAAATATAAAACAAATTGTATTTACTATGACATGACATAATTAGGTAAAAATATAGAAAATCCAATATTCTTAACAGGTTTAATACCCTAAATTCCTAAATACAAAAAGGACATATCTGAAATTATATGGTCTATCTAAATCTTGTATTGCTATGGTTTTTATTTAACATAATATAAATCTATAACGCCTCATTTCAAAGGTGATCTTGCTTGGGCAAGATATAATTTATCTATTAAAGCATGGATAAGTCCCTCTCTCAATATAAACTCGCCATAAATGACAAGACGTCTTGATTAGGCAAAAAAAAATCCTTTATATCTATCATGACTTCGTCATGTTTCTATATAGACCTTACAACAAAAATCTATATTAAAACTTACCTAAAAATTCTCGACTACATACCTATCTCCCGATGAGAGATCTCATGTGCCCCTTTCGAAAGCTTGGTCAATACTGACTGGTCCTTGCTCGATCCCGCCCAAAAAAAAATCTCGCCCCCTATCCCTTTTCTTCAGCGCCCTCAATCCCAAACTCCCACAGAATAATAAATCTTGAATAAACTAAATTCTCGAAATATAAATAGAAAAAAAAATATTATTATAGTTAAAATTTAAGGAATAAAATAATATTTTATTAAATTTTTATTTAAAAAAAATGAATTAGAAATATTCTTACTCGGCTTATGAAAGATCAATTTAACATAAATATTAACCAAAATTCAGAATTTATCTGTCTTATTGAGAGAAAATAGTATTTTATTAAATTTTTATTTTTAAGGAAAATTATGAATTAGAAATATTCTTACTTGGCCTATGAAAGATCAATTTAAAATAAATATTAACCAAAATTCAGAATTTATCTGTCTTATTGAGAGATAAATTTAAATTAACAATGGAATTAAAATCCAATTTTAGGATGCTTCCCCTCCGAGAGACTTATATGCTAATTTCTTCTTTAAGAAATCCCAAAAATATTAATAAATGGTCCCCATCTATCAAAATGTGATGTCACAGGTCATATATATACAAGAATTAAAAGGGAGGTTTTACAAAGGCGCATGCTCGATGTCCGTTTCTTCTTGTTGAGGTGGCTTCTCCACTGTCCGTCAGCTTTCTGCTTATGTTGTGGTTGGACTCCTGCTTCTGTTTTCGTCTGGCTTCTGACTACTTAATCAGGGGCCGATATCATCCCCCTCCAGTAGATCTTGGAATCGCGTCCAGGGCTGTGCCTTCCCTTGATATATCTTAGTATTCACGTCCAGGGCTGCGTCTCCCCCCCCCCCCCCCCCGCTTGGTCTTTGAACCACCGTCGGCCATTGCCGTGGGACATCCATCT